AGACAGACAGACAGATAGATAGATAGATAGATAGAGAACAACAGAATGATATAGATAGATAGATAGATAGATAGATAGATAGATAGACAACAACAGAATGATATAGATAGATAGATAGATAGATAGATAGATAGATAGATACATAGAGAACAACAGAATGAGATAGATAGATAGATAGATAGATAGATAGATAGATAGATAGAGAACAACATAATGATAGAATGATAGATAGATAGATAGATAGATAGACAACAACAGAACGATAGAACGATAGATTGATAGATAGAGAACAACAGAACGATAGATAGATAGATAGATAGATAGATAGATATAGAAAAACAGAACGATAGATAGATAGATAGATAGATAACGACAGAACGATAGATAGATAACGACAGAACGATAGATAGATAGATAGATAGATAGATAGACAACAACAGAACGATAGAACGATAGATTGATAGATAGAGAACAACAGAACGATAGATAGATAGATAGATAGATAGATAGATATAGAAAAACAGAACGATAGATAGATAGATATAGAAAAACAGAACGATAGATAGATAGATAGATAGATAACGACAGAACGATAGATAGATAACGACAGAACGATAGATAGATAGATAGATAGATAGATATAGAAAAACAGAACGATAGATAGATAGATAGATATAGAAAAACAGAACGATAGATAGATAGATAGATAACGACAGAACGATAGATAGATAACGACAGAACGATAGATAGATAGATAACGATAGAACGATAGATAGATAGAGAACAACATAACGATAGATAGATAGATAGATAGATAGATAGATAGATAACGACAGAATGATAGATATAGATAATGACAGAATGATAGATAGATAGATAGATAGATAACGATAGATAGATAACATGATAGATTGATAGATAAATAGATAGATAACGACAGAACGATAGATAGATAGATAACGATAGAATGATAGAACGATATATATATATATATATATATATATAAGGGGAAGTCTTGGCCTAATGGTTAGAGAGTCGGACTCATAACCCAAAGGTTGTGGGTTCGAGTCTCGTACTGGCAGGGATTGTAGGTGGAGGGAGTGAATGTACAGCGCTCTCTCCCACCTTCAATACCACGACTGAGGTGCCCTTGAGCAAGGCACCAAACCCCCAACTGCTCTCTTGGCGCCACAGCAAAAATGGCTGCCCACTGCTCCGGGTGTGTGTTCACGGTGTGTGTGTGTTCACTGCTGTGTGTGTGCACTTTGGATGGGTAAATGCAGAGCACTAATTCCAAGTATGGGTCACCATACTTGGCCACATGTCACGTCACTTTCTTTTCTTTTCTCTATATATATATATATAACAACAGAACGATAGAACAATAGACAGATAGACAGACAGACAGATAGATAGATAGATAGATAGATAGATAGATAGTAATAAAAGGTAGTGCTGAACTAAACAGTCGACTGAAAGCTGCCAAACCCCTCACAAATGCCCTGTTTTGTTACATTTCTTCTTTACAACCACTTGCAGTATTGAAAGAGACACTCGCTGACAAGTGTAAACATCACTAAGAATAACCTCGCGTTTGCTGTGAGGGTGATGTTTTTTAGGAGTCTCAGTGCTGTCTGTGAGCTATGTTTATACCTTTTTTGGCTGGTGAGGAGGTGTGATGGGTCACGGACTCGCGTCTGTTCTGTGCGCTGAATGGACGGATGTCTCCCGCGGAATCTACAAGACACTGAACCGCGCCAAAACACAGAGATTATTGTAATCTTGTAAAATTGTAATCTAATCCAGATTATTGTAAATTATTTATTAAATATTCATAAATAAATAAAATAAAATTAATAAAAATGCATCTTGTTTACTTTGTTTTTTCTTTTCTTTTAATATTTAAGAGACAAACAGACAGTTTTAAAAATACTGAAACAGGTTTAAGAATAGATTATACGAATTTAGTTTTGTAGTAAATATTTGAAGTACACTGCATGTTCCATAATGCTTTTCGGCATCACGTCATCAACCTGCGTTATTATTCCTAAAGTGGTGAGCTGGCTTTGAACAGCGGGTAAGAGAGAGTGTTTCAATATCATCAGTGCATTTTCAATATGCGTATTTAATATTTGGGAGCTGGTCATTGTTACTAAGCTAAAATATGCCTCCGTTTAGCGTTGTTTGTTAGATTTCATTGTAAACACCATGTAATCGTTAGCATTCGTGCTAGCTGTTCAATACGAGTGAGGATCAATGCGAATTTTAAACAACAGTGGTGTATATTTACAATTATTTTACTGTAATATTTATGATTTCTTTATCATCCGATTTCGCCTGTCTCAAACACTAGCGGTAGACATTCTGATTGTCACCTTTAATCGAATGCATTTCATGAAATGGTTTCTTGGTAATGTAGTATAAATATATGAATGTTTTTATTTCATACAGTGTTTCATGTATTGCCAAACATAAGTGGCCACTTTAAAATTAATGAAGTTTTACAGTGTGTGCTATCTACAATAAAGCATAATATGTGAAACAGAACTGTCTAACAGAAACTCATTTATCCTCACAGGTGGATTCTTCATTTATAATTTAGCCCTCCACCGTCCCACAAACTTCATCACAATGACCAAGCTTCTGGAGTGGCTTCTTGGTGTGTCGCTGATTGGTGTGGCATGGGGACTCGTTACCTTTGACCTCCTTGATTTGCAGTTGCCTCCCCAGTATAGAGAGCTGGCGTGGCCCATGCCTGTATATCTGCTGGTGGCGTTTGGTTGTTATTCACTGGCAGCTGTCGGCTACCGTGTGGCCACGTTTAATGACTGTGAGGACGCGGCCAAAGAGTTGCAAGCACAAATAAAAGAAGCCAAAGAGGATTTAAAGAAGAAGGGACTGAAGATGTGAGAATTACATCTTGGCTTCTGTTTTTTATATACAAATGCAAACATAGTCTCATTGTTTCTGTTTACTTTGTGATGTCTGTACTACAATATGCACTCAAGACTGCAGCTCAAAGCTGTCCAACTTTGTTCAAGTCTTTTTTTCTACATGATGTAAATAATAGTTTGAAATGTAAGCACCTGCACACCTGTGAACGATCTATTTCCAGCAATATGACAGTCTTATTTTAAACATTATAGGCACATGCATGTATTGTCAATGGAGAGCAGAGCTATTTCCGTACAACCTCCAGAGAGTGTGTATTTGCATTTGCCAGGGACTGAATATGTCTTTTTTGAACCAGTTCTTTTTAGCGAGTCAGACTTAGAAATGAACCCACTGTGTAGATTTGCGCTTGCACAAGGGCAGCATTTCAGTAAATCAACCATTTAATGTGAATATTATAGGGTCCTAATAAAAGAAGTGGCCTACATAGGGCTTTTCACACTTGAAATAGTTAACCCTGGGTCATTTTAAAGCTCAGGTAAACGAAATCCAGGGTTATTTTGCTTTACGTTTCACACTGCTCATAATTTGCCCGGATTAAAAATGAATGCTGTTTATTCATAAAATAACATGTCACACTGTGCATGCATTTCCCGGGTTAACGTTCTTATTTGCATATTTGTGGTGTAAGTGTCACTGATTGGACGAACGCAGCACGTGACCTTTTTCCTTAACGATTCTAGCATCCTCGTATTAGTAGCTATATCATTTACAGAAAAAATGTGCACAGCAATGAAGGGGTGACACTAAAATATCAAGAGTGCAAAAATAGACACACTCCACCCTCCACCCCCCACCGACATAAATATATGAACTAGTGTGACTGTAACACAAAGCATGTTTCTGCAAATGCGTGAAATAAAATCGATAATTCAGCCCCAATGCAGTAAAAACACAGACACCAAGGAAGGGGTTACACTCTAAAACATCAGTACAAAACAGACACACACACACTCACTTACACACACAAATGAACTGGTGTGTAGCAACATGGCAAAATTGAGCCAGAAGACTCAAATAAGGTTGAAATTCAGATTGATTAATCTCTGATAAAGCATTCCTGTTCATTTTTGTTAAATTTTTTAAACTTTGATGTTTGATGTAAAATGTCTTTCTCTGTGTTCAGGTTTGACTAGTAAGATTAATGCAAAAACTGTCATTTCAAACCAATATTTAAAAAAAAAATAAAAATCTAAACCTTTGCAGAAAGTTGTCTTTGAGAATGTCTAAATATATATCGAAATCCACAACTTAAAAAAAATAAAAAAAATGTCTAAAAACAACGAGATTTTATAAGCCTTTTATATTGAGCTATATAGGAATGTAGTTGCCAAACCATGGAATTGCAGAATTTTTTCTTTTTTTTTACTCCAAACAGATGGCACTAATCTGACTTCAAAATTGGATTTTAAAGGCATTATCTCTATTTTAACATGTAATACTGCCACAATTGAAAAGTAATAGAAAATATTAGAAAAAACATTATTGGGGAAAATTAATAATTATTGCATAAATATTAATTAGTACCATGAAATTCTCTCAAAATACAAAATAAAAAAAATATTATTGAACAAAAATATATTAACTTGATTTTACTGAAAATAAAAAAAAGTTACATTTCAGGTGCCCGGTTACTTTTGACCGCAAACAACATAAGTGTGACTCCCAAATGAACAATACCAGAGGGTTAAAGCATGAATATGAGACAAGCGATTGGCTGTCTGTACCTAAGCGTCGAGCCATAACAATGACCACATCGGTTCACACTGCACGAGTTTGGCACCGCAATATAGGGTTAACGCCAGAAAAGAGCTGCTTTAATAACCCCAGGTAAAAAGCGCTGCTACCCCCGCTTCTAAATTACAAGTGTGACACGTAGGCCTACCTTTACTTGGGGTTAAGCACAGTGTTAAAGGCCATCATGTGTGTTCACCATTTCATTGTTCACCATTTTTTGCATTTCCTCAGACATTCCATATGATGAAAATTAATGTTTGATACAAAATACAGAGTGATTATTCTCAGCTGTGTTTAATGTTTGCTCTGCTGTACTCTGCCTTAGATTCTGGTCTCAAAAAATGAACTTCTGTCCACATAAATTCTGAAATGTGATCCCCGTCCATGTGTTGGCTCTTAAAACACTAATCCCTAAGCCACTAAGTGCACACGGGCGCTGTATATAGTGCTGAATGAATCTGGTGTTTTTGGCAAGCAAAGCTCATTCGTTCTCTTCAAGCTATAGGCTTTTGTAACCTTCTTTTTAGGCCCCTTCAATGCCACTGTGAACAGGCCTATACCTGTTTGCAAAAAAAAGTAGGTTTTTCATAAGTTTGCAGTTTTCTTGTAGGACTAGGCTCCGCCTGACTGCTGATTGGCTCCTGTTCAAATCTCTGATGTCACCCCCTGCAGCCTCTTACAAGCTGTTGTTAGTTAAGGCCTGTTTTTCACAAACCCATAGTAGCATATGAGAGAACAGCATCAGCATTTTCTCCTGATTAACGGCACGTTTATGCTTTGAGATGCAGTTTAAACAGCTGAGAAACTAAGCAAATGATTTCTATCGCAGAGTTTTGAATAGGACTTTCTTTCTGTGCTGGAATTAAGAAAGATTCAATGATCTGATTCAATGGCCCATTATTGAGAAGAAAGAGAAAATTGCAGGCTTTGCTTTCTGCTCCACGGTAATTTTCTGGTGCTGATCAATAAATCTCTTTGAAATGTAGGCATTGTTAGCCAGGGCATGTTTAAAGCAAACAAGTGAAAAACAAACATGCATTCCCTTTTGTGTTCCAACGAGGGTGAGTATATAATTTTTGTGTGAACTGTTCCTTTAAGAAAATGTCTAAAGTTCAACAAATAGATGAATTAACGGTAGTTATTTTCATTGTTGGTTTTCAAAGACTGATTATCACTGAAAGCAATATTTTGTACAACATGGCTTTAAAAACAAGCACATTTGTCTCAGCTGACCTGTTTCAACTGCCTTTAGGGGTTAGAGACGCCACATTTTGCGAAATATAAGACAGGTCATGCTGCTGTTGTACGTCATGAGACCTTTATGCCCCATACTTCACATTTGTCTGTTATGCAACGTGATACTTCTTCTGGTCTGTTATTGTTGGGAGAATGAACTGTATGTGCCTCATTTAGATTGAATACATGGTTCAAACTCAAACCAACAGTGACCCAAAAATGGATCTGGACACTTAAGAAGAGAAAAGTTTGAATGTTGTTGTATGGTGTTTAATTTTAATAAAAGATAAAAAAAATTCATAAAGGTGTTTTAAGTAAATAAAATATAGCCTACAAATAAAATATATTAATAAATAAATTATATTATCTAAATATAATCTCTAATTTTGCATATTTGTATCTACCTAAAGTAAATAGTATATACAGTGTTTAAGTATTTGGGCATTTTGTGGTTGTCAAATTTAGAGGTCAGTGTCTATGAAAAATAAAACAATGTCTAAATAGCTATTTGGCTATCAGTTAACATTTTCCAATAGCATGTACAGCCAAAGTTATGTCAGGCAAAAAATAAATGTCTGAGTTATTGCATTTTGATTACAAAGATTACAAAGACAAACATTATTTTCCCTTTAGAATAACATGCACTGATGAATCATACACAATAAAACTAGGAATGTGTATCAATAATGTAAATAGCATCAATATTGATTCCATATTGACTTGAAATGATATTCAGTAAAACCTCAAGCACACCAAGCGTCTGAATGGCCTAAAATGTCTAAAAAGTGTGCTGCCAATATATGAACAAAGAGAAATCCTATCTGGAGTGCCAGCTGCCAAACTTTCTCTAGAGCCTTGTTAAAATAAATACGAATGTAAAAAAGACGGAAAAATGAGTGGAAGTGTAGAGTAATGCCTGAAATCTTTAGCTCCTCTGAAGGTATGTACGTCAGTGAATGTAAACCTTATTGTTTAAGCTAATTAGCTCACTGTTTCAGTAACATGTGCTAGCAAGGTGTGTTTGTCAAAGAATCCAAGACCGTGGAACACTTCCAGCTTTCTTTCCCCGTGACCCAGAAGTCAATATCCAAATATGCCTTTATTAGGACAGAAACCAGTAGAGACCATCTAAGAGTATGTAGAAGATAGTACGTCCTATTAAATGGCTAAATTCAGTTGTGTTACATGTTTGACTCAGTAGCTTATTATACTGCCCGGTCAAAATCTTGCTAGTGTTTATGGTTTTGGCTTGAGTGACTCTGTGAGACTTATTTTCACCTCTTAATCTAAATCTTTATTTTATTTCTTTTCAAAATTGCATATAATGAACGGTTGAAGAGATGTCTGAAATCGGCAGCTCTGTGAGAAAATTGGCTGTATCAAACTAAGTAGAGTGGTCTGTGCTTTTGAAAGTTGTATCAAGGTTGATTTCTTCTGAAATTTATGGCAAGCATAGCTTGAAATTCAATCACATTTTCATTGTCTGAACAAGAATTTATGCGCAATCCAAGCAGAGCTTAAATCTAGATGCAGCAGCCCTTGACTCCATCCTGAGAAGCTGCATGACAGTCTTTGTTGTTTAAATGGCTTGAAAATAATTACGGGGTTTATGTATTCATATTTCTGATATTGTTGGACTGGTATAGTATGTCTCTGGGTTTGGCTTTGTGTCTTTGAAATAGGATAACCCATTCAGCAGTGAAAATGGAGCTTTTTTTAATATACAGTATATCAATATATTTGCTTGCTCTCAATCCCCAATGAATTAAAAAAAAAAAAAAAAACCCGAAGAAATCCAGGTTTTACTCAGTGCTCACAAAGACAGATTACACATGAGGCCATCATAACATTATTGTCTTTGTTTTAGGAACCACATCTCACTGGAAGTGTCCCATGTTCACCGAGCCGTCTACTTTTAAGGCCAAATGTGGTCAAAAAGCTGATTTCCCAATTTCTCCAGCTATCTCGACTTGATCTAAAATCAAAGTTAAGTGATATTTAGTTGTTACGTTAGGCTTTAACACTGAGGAACTAAAATAATTCTTGTTGCACAAAGTTTTAAGCTGATTATTCAAATGCCAATTCATGCAACAAAAATGATTCAGAAAAGGTGGTAAGTCTTTGGAGGGAAAAAATAAATACCATCAATCATTTTTTAAAAATAATTCTTAACATTATTAATTTTTTAAAAATGTATTATCATATATGGATTTGTTATATGCTTAAAAATACATATATGAATCATATATGGATAAATATGCTTAAAAATACATATAAATACATACCTTTATAAAGAGCTCTTTTTCTCTGCCTCCACATTAATGTCATCATTCTTTTCTGTACAGAGTTTCTCCAACCCCCGTTCATGTTGGATAACAGTATGAGACATATGCTGTCTGAGGAAGACTTGTGTCATATTTCTCTCCACATGATGCCCATGCTGCATCCAGACAAGTAGCTGCTGTCCTCCAACCTGCTTCCTCCACCGATGACTGAATATGAGAATAAGCAAATGTTATATTAGACAAAACACATACATGAACAGCCTGTATTGATTTCAACATATACTTCATGTTACATTATGTGGCTTTCATCCAAGCTTCCTGTTGTGATTGTATAGCCATTTAAATAATTACAAATGACGTGTGTTATCATCTAATGAATGCTCTTTGTCTTTTACAGCACATTTGATCAGATGAGTAACAGAAATGGGATACAAAGCCACAGTATTTGCCCCAACTTGCGCAAGGATAAAACATGCTAAGCATATTTCTTGATCAAAGTTGTGAATGCAGACCCTCTCACAACAGGTATTTTTAGCTCAAGGACAAAAGCTTAACATATTTATCATAAGCACAGAAACAGATGTGCAGGACCAACTTAATGCGTTATCTTGAAAATAGAAAAATGCAGAAGTAACATTCTCAGTCTTCAGGAGGACATATTAAAAGCTGATAAGAGAGGGCCAACATTTTTTCCAGATGTGAGATGAATAATATGCAGGAAGGAGGGAGAGATCTTGCCCTCTTGTTTTTTTTTAGTCTCTTTGACA